AAAAATGGGTCAAATAAATTAATGGTTCTGGTATAACTCCTGGCCCAGAGGCAGCCTGCTAAGGCCACCGTATGGTTAACCCTGCTCTGTCTGCGTTACAGTTGATGGTGATGCTTCCCTCTGCTGCGTTACCTCTGCCGGCAGGAATGCCTCTTCCCTGGTGTGTTTTGGTAAAAGTGAAGCCTACATGTCTTGCTCATACTGACATCACGCTTTATTGTAATGCAATATGACGCACATTATGCTCTCATTCCTCCCAGCAGAAATTAACCTCCAGGAACCAGACAAATACCAGGGCTTAATCCTTCCAGATAGGGCCAGATTAAGAGCCCAGTGGGCCTGGTGCTGACAATTATGATGGGGTCTAATTACAGAATCTTATAAACCAAAAACACTGAAACAGTCATACCTCTCAAGCGTCATGTATCTGATGGAGTTGGTGTTGGAGGAAAACTCAAAGGATGCAGCTATAAGAAAACACATACTCTATGCTAATCTCCCTCTAATTTATGCTTTTACCTTTTAAGCAATGTCCAATGAATCAGGAAGTCAATGAGCGGGGTAAAAGGGTGGGCCACTGATGCGAATCACGTGACCATAACTGCCAAAAGGGCGAACATGCCCAAAAAGGGGGCATGTCTGTCCAAAGAATTGTAAGGCCAGCCTGGCATCAGTGTCCCTATGTATCAGTGTCAGTGTCCCCATGTCGCCCAGTCCCCTAGTCTCCCAGTGTCTGTGTCCCCGTTTCTCCCAGTGTCCCCATGTCTCAGTGTTTCCAGTGTCACTAGGATACTAAGGGACACTAAGAGACATGGGGACACAGTGAGACATGGGGACACTGAGACACTTTGGGACACTGGGAGACATGGGGGCCCTGAGACACTTAGGGACACTGGGAGACATGGGGGCACTTGTGAACACAGACATGGGGACATTGGGAGACATGGAGACACTGGGAGACATGGGGACACAGACATTGGGGACACTTGGAGAAATGGTGTGACAGACACTAGGGACACAGAGACATGGGGACACAGACACTGGGAGACATGGGGACACAACCATTTGGGGAAACTAAGACACTAGGGACACTGAGAGACATGGGAAAACAGACACTGGAAGACTAGGGGACACTGGGAGACATGGGGGCACAGACACTAGGGACACTGGCTGGGAGGCATGGGGACACAGACACTTGGGGAAACTGGGAGACATGGGGGCACTTATGAACATAGACATGGGAACACTGGGAGATATGGGGACACTGAGACATTTGGGGACACTGGGAGACATGGGGACACTAGGGACACAGACACTGGGAGACATGGGGACACTGAGGCAGTAGGGACACTGGCTGGGAGACATAAGGACACTGAGAGACATGGGGACACTGAGACACTGGCTGGGAGACATGTGGACACTGGGAGACATGGGGACACTCAGAGACATGGGGACACTGGGAGACATGGGGACACTGAGAGACATGGGGACACAGACACTGGCAGACTAGGGGGCACTGGGAGCCATGGGGACACTGAGACACTAGGGGCACTGGCTGGGAGACTTGGGGACACTGGGAGACATCGAGACACTGTGTCCCTAGTGTGTCCATGTCCTAATGTGTCTCCCTATGTCTCACAGCTTCCCCATGTGTCTCAGCATCCCCATGTCTCACAGTGTCCCCTAGTATCTCAGTGTCCCCATGTTTCCCAGTGTCCCCAAGTGTCTCAGTGTCCCCACATCTCCCAGTGTCCCCTAGTGTCTCAGTGTCCCCATGTGTCCCCTAGTGTCTCGGTGTCCCTATGTTTCCCTGCTGCCTTTCCCCCCATCCTTCACATACCTGAGCTGTAGTCTGTGTCTGCAGGCTGGGACCTGCTGTCTGGGCTCTCTGTGCTGTGTAGCTGCTCCCCCGCGGATCAGTGAGTAGAGAGAGGCAGGGAGATGCTGTAACTTCCTATCCCTGCCTCTCTCCATACACAGTGACCCCTACTGGCCGGTGCTGGTAATGCAGAGTAATCTCCGTTTATACTGAGAAAAATATTTGCATTTGTATTGCCGGTGTTACTGTAATATCGTCACAGCCAGGCAGCCTCAAATACTGGCTGTGCCTTAAAATACCAGTCAGGTGGCAAACCTAAGAGTAGTGTATAAAAAAAAAAAAAGTACTTTTTTTTTTTTAAACTGGGCTTATTCCATGGGCCTGGGCCTGGAGCTGCAGCTCCATCAGCCCCTCTATCAGCCCCTATGTTAATCCGGCCCTGCTTCCAGAGAGTGTGTAGGGAACTGCACTCACTCCCATCAATCTGAGCCAGGGTGCTTAGCTGTTCCAGAACCAAACACCAGATTCCCACAGAAGGAGTATAGTAACGGAAAGAGGTCTAGGCACTCCTTGGTTTAAAATAGGCAATTTATTAGAACCACAGCAGCGTTTAGACCTTATCTGTCTTTTTCAAAATTGAAAAAGACAGATAAGGTTGAAACGTTGCTGTGGTTCTAATAAATTGCCTATTTTGAACCAAGGAGTGCCTGGACCTCTTTCTTTCACTAAAATACCAGGGCTTGACACATGAAGGCACCGAGAGCACGAGGCTGCTTGTACAATTTTTATAAAGCCAAGGCAAACTGTTTAGAGCTCAGTTTTCCATTGCAAATCACAAGTAGGCAAGTAGAAATTTTTAACCCTTAATGAATTTGAGGTGTATCAGTACAGAGTGTCTGTTGAGCCTTTTTGTGGTTTATTTTCTCTTTACAGTTGCTTAGTCTGTTCTTTAATTTCTTTTTGTAATATAGATGCTTTATTTCACACGGGAATGACAGGAAAGATGTAATTAGCAAAAAATAAAGTAAACAAGTAGAATCAACTTAAAAAGGAATCACAATTTCCTGGATTGAAATTATTATTATTTTAACGCCATCAGATTCTGTAGTGCTGTACAATGAAATGACCTGAAGCAGTACAGACACAAAGGGGTTAATTTACTAACCAGCTCTCAAATCACAATAATAATATACAGTAAAGGTGGACTCCAGGTTTATAGATTCCAGTCAGACAAAAGATATGCAGACCCTGGGCCCTAATATTAATTATGGGGTCTATCAAATAGCCGTTTCTTCAACAAGAGTGTGGTTTCATGGGCCACCGAAAACCCAGTCTCTCTGTATCGAATACTAAAATTAATCCCCACCCCTTAGCCCTAGATAGGACCAGCTTTAATGCTTGTGGTTATAACGTATTCTCCTAGATTTGTGCAAACTTAAAACATGGAGGTAAAAACATATGCTGGAATGGTTGAATTACTGCAGGAAGGTCAGGGTTTCGTGCAGGGCTAGTAAATGGCACAAGTTCCTTCTCATATTCAGGAAGGTGCAGTGAAAGTACAATTTTATAATTTTATTTAAGGTTATTCTAGAATTTATTTTTATGTGATTAAAATGAAAATTGTTGAAGGATCTGTAGTCTATTTCCACTTTAAAATGGCACGGTCACTGTCTAGGGACTTTCCAGAATTTAAAAATGGCCTGACAGTGACATTTTCACTGAGGATCTGGTGAGGCAGGTAAAGGTGAGTCCTACTTATTTGAACCTGTCCCTTGTGGGCACAGCCATCTTCCTTCAGTGGTTCCTTTCTCAGCTCCTGGCGCTTCAGGAGCCAACGTCAATGCTGTCTCGCTCTTGTGTGAGAGTACAGCATTGAGGTCTATGGAGGATCCTGTGAGACATTTTTGGTTGTTCTTGGGGAGTTACAGTGCCTTTTAAAAATTCTCTGTACACCTCTGTAGAATATTTAGTAAGAAATAATAATTATAAACAATATTTCTGTTACAAAGATCTAACATTCTTTACCTCACCTCTTTACATCCACTGATTGAAAAATACCATTCCACCAGGAGACTTCTACATAGTTCACATGTACTGTGAATGCATTACATTCTGGAACAGAATTATCCTTTCAAACTCGTACTGAGAAAGAGCAATATTCTAAAAGGATAATTATATCTGAGAGATATATACTAAAAAAGCACAAAATTCTACGAGGAAAATTCTAAGGAATTATACTGTAAAAGAACAACATTCTGCCTTGAAAAATCTGCTTGGGAAAAAAAAGAGAATTATAGAAATTAGAATAAGAAATTGAGTGATGGAAGCAGGAGATACGTAATTATAGGAGATACGTAATTATATGACTACCTAGCTGAGCAGATGTAATAAAGCAGTCATTTCTAAATGTAGCAAAGAGTTTAAAAATCTGATGTTAACAACCAAGTCAACCTACTTCTCCATATTCTTAAGTAGTATTGTTATTATTGGTCAAATTTTCCACAAGATGACCATGACGTGTATCCAACATGAATGGTTTATCCTCAATTAGCAGTTTTGTTTCTAGATTCCGAGGGTAGTTCAATTCCATGTGAGGACCATAGAACAGAGTAATGAGTCTGGAACACATACAGCCTTGACGTAAGTAAATTGCCTAGTGAGGCTATGAAATAGGCTAAACGACTTTATGCTGTGGAAAAGCTGGTGGTAAGTAAGTCAGTCTATAAAGGTAGTTGCTGATATCAAACAAAGATTTTAAAATCTTCACCGTCTTGTTTGGATGGAGAAATTAACGTATCTATGAGTGATGGTAAAAAAATGGTAAAAAAAAAAGTAGTGAGCACCGATCTACTGGAAAATCTGTATTTTACCTAACAATGGAAGCAATGTAGAGTTTAATTTGATCAGAAAGTTATGGCATTTCTGACTGTGCTGATTGATAATATTTGCTTCTTAACCAGATGTCTTCTCACAAGGCATGTTCTAAGAACAGGCGTTATTCAAGAAACGACCAAGAAGAGAATTTCTGTTTATTATTGATCTACTAATACCCAGTCTTTGAACGATTGATATTTGGATCAACTGAATATTAGAGTTTGGTGACATGTATCATAATATATCTCGATGACACCTTTCCCTGAATTTTAATCAAAGGAATTTGGGAATAATATATGTGGCAATAATAGAACCACATTTTACGAAATTACAGAAAAGAAATGTAGAACTATTACAGTTTAGAGTTTGGCATTCTTATGATTATCTTTTTTTTATGTTTTTCTTTTGGAAGTAGAAATGTATGTTTGCCATTTTCAAGTTAATTGAGAATTAAATAAATTGCCATTTGAATTTTGGACTAGCAGTCTCTTCATTATAACAAATAGACTTTAGTGCAAGGTATAATGGATTTCTTAGGACAGGAGAAACCTCACATGAAAAACAAAGGTCTTTATTGAGTTGTAGTCAGTTGGTCACAAAGCTAAAAAATGTAGGCCAAGACAAGCAAGTGAAAAAAGTATCCAAAAATAATAGGATACATTTTACAACTATCCTGTCTCAATTAACTTCCTGTTTTGTAAATACGTGTTTAAGTTGCTGGACTCTTTATACTACGTTTAACTAGTTGATGTTATTCCACAATGCTCTATGTGTAATGTGTTTTTAAGAAATCTTTTTCTACTTATCTATATATAAATGTATCTATTTTGTACTTCATTTACATTATTAATAAAATAGGACATTTGCTTAATGACTGTAGTATGTGTTGAATGAAAACCCAGAACAGTTATATGGATAAAAGCTGTGACGTGGAGGCATGATCAGAAGAAATGGCTGACTAAATAGCATTGTTCTTCATGTGATATATTCACTTTTAGTATACGTCCAGTAACTGAAAAAAACATGTTCTGTGATTGACCAAATGTCCTTATTTTGAATGCCATTGATTTGCTCAAGGAAATAAACAAATAGAAGATAAATATTGTATACTGGTTAATCATCATCATTATTTTATTAATAGATTGCAATTAATATTATATTCAAATTTACAACATGCAGAAGTTCTAGTATCCTTGGCTATCTACTTGTGGAGACCATTTCATGCTATCCAGGAATGAAAACAAAATGGCAGCTAAGATCGTCATGGCAGCAAGATAATCACTAGATGAAAAAAATGGAGATCAGGGGAGCTCCTTACTCTTCTTATAGTTCTGCATGAGATTTTCGACAACATACCTGTGATCAATCTGACGGCTATGGTTCAGTGTCTCTCAGACAGTTCTAATGGTTTGATCCCTGTTAATGGACTATTGGAATTAATGGAGTTTGTTGTCAATTGCCCCCACCACCTCTATTACAGGGTTATTTACCAAGGTAAAAATTAAAAATTAAATATAAAGTGAATTTAAGGACAAAATAGTCAGACTGGAAAAAGTCTCTAAGTCAGCTTTGCGTCCAGTTTGGCTACTTTGGTCTTCCACTTGAATTGTACTTTGAATTCTTCAAGTTCAGTGAATAGCCATAATTGTCTTTTCTCTTTGTTTCTTGTTTTTTGTTTTATATCGTGTTTTATTGTCAACTTTTCTGTTCAAATAATCATCTGTTACTTATATGCACCTCTTCGGTTTCGTCACTTACAAATAAAGAGTTAGAAACAAAAATACTGACACGTCCTGTTCCGTTCTGCTCAGATGTCTGGCATTGGCTTCTGGTATCCAGAATCTTGTTTAGTTTTTTGGGGTTTTTCTGGTTTTCATTTCTATGTCTGGTTGTCTCTATGCTGGGTTTTTGGGGTTCATTCCTTTATTCCATTCATGGAATTCCCAGTCTCCTGGATTCCTTTAAATGTTTGGTTTTTGTTGCCACACCCATTCCTTTGCTAATAATTCTTTTTGTTTCAGTCTGTTCCTGCTTGCAGAGGTCTCATTTCCTCTGCTACTTTCCTTGCCGGTAAGTACTGTGTGTGTTTTATTGTTGTTTATTTAGTCATGCATATATAGGCAATTAGTACCCACCGTAACTGGAGTACTTTGACACAGTGGTGTGCTGCATACATCTTGGCCATTTATGTATGTCTACATCTCCAATGTTTATTACATATATAGTACTTAGTTATTGCTCCTCTTGTTTTGCCTTGTATCTCTTATCTCTTTTTATTGTGTCTTGTATTCTCAGTTCTGCCCTGTCCATGTCCTGTTCATATTTTCCCTTCCCTCATGTATTGTGTGCATGTTCTGGGTTCTGCTTTCTGTCCTGCTTCAGTTCTGGGTTCTTCTAGTCTTGTCTTATCTTGTTTGGTGCCTATTCTTGTCTTGCCTTATTTTCTTACTGGATACATTCTGCTTAATATCATCTAGCACCTGCCTTCCGCTTAAGCTGCATCAGGGCCCTGGTATGTGGCCGCACAAACCCTGGTGCTCCACACCAGGGGGCGTGTGGTTACCATGCACCAGGCCCTGATTGACTATTTCCACGCTGAGACTCCTATCATCACACACAGGGGTCCCAGTCTTCAGACAGCCACCCATGACAAATGACAGAAAAAATATATATTTATATATTTATATATAAACTTTCAACAATATGCAATTATATAGATTTGCCGTTATGTAGATTTCAAAGTCTTGCCTTTTTATTTAGCATAATACTAAAATACTGTTTAAATGTATTTCTACCAGAATCTTGTATACAACCCTCTGATAATTAAACTGGTTAATATTGGAACATAGAAACATTTAATAATTCAACTGGTTAATATTGGAACATAGAAACATTTAATAATACTCACAGAACATTGAGGGCCAAAAGAAGAGTAAAATAAATGACAATGTAATAGGTCTTTCACCTCTCTTCCAAGTAACAGTTTAACTATTACACTATATTGTGCATAACTATTTACAATTTTACCACATGACAGGAGGCTTCGTATTTTGCATAATCTTTCTTTACTAACTCCCATAGCAGCAAAGAAAAGAGTGGAAACTGAGAACCAATCACAATGCAGTATAGGATATAAGAGGCGTGTCATATTACATCATTTCCTCTTTCTTTGCTGCTCCATCACAAGATAAGTACAGATTTTGGTTTCTCCTCTCTGTCCTTCATACGTCTTACCTACAGTCATTTATATCATATTTTCTAGCTTGTATCATATTCTCTTACTACCCAGCTTGTATTTCTCCTGTTACTCTACTGACCTCCATTTCTCTGGGGCTAACCTCCTCTGTTTCTGGGCTCTTTCCGCCTTTCCCTCTTCAGGGACGCCCCCTGGCTCTGGGACCCTTCAACTGTAATTTCCCCTAACCCGGTTTACAGGAGGACTTACCGGCATTCTCGCCGTTTTCTCCACACCTCCCCAGAGCCAGACCTCTATTCGCTGCTTTTTCTCGCCTTTTACTGTTGTTCGCACGTCCTTTCGCTTCACGAACTGCATTAATCTTACCGTTCATTCGCATAGGTACGTTTTATTTGCCGAATGCTTATCGTTCGGCAATTTCCCCTCAAACGCCTTATATTAGGCGCTCGTGTTCGTCTATTCGTGTGCCAAACGCCCGCACCATTTATTGGTGCTCGCGTTCGGCTACTTCCCTGCGTACGAATGCCCGGCTCTGCCTGGCTTTCGTGCAATTCCTTTTGCCGCCCTAACTCTAAGGGAGGTACTAAACCTCACCATTTCAACTGCTTTTCAGTCCGGCGGCCATTTTAAATGGTTACTGCTGCTCTGTTACAGACTCCAGCTACTTCTCTGCCAGGTACTCTGGAACACTATTCAAGAACTCTGCCTCCTTCTCATAGCTCACAGTGGGACCAGGTCAGGTTAGTGCCTTGCACTTGGGGTTGGTTTAAGCCAGTTGGACTATCCCTCATTCTGGCCGGGGTGAGCCCCCATTCATGTGCTGCTGAATGGACCTGTCCATGCAGGATTCCGATTTCATGGGTGAGCCCCAGTGACACAGCCCTTTCACCACATTACTCTGACCTACCAGTCACATATCCTCTCAGGTTAACCATTACCTGCTACCATAACACCCCCTGGTCTCCAGGCCTCTCCAGTTATTTGTGCCCAAGTGCCCTCACGCATATTCCACTGGGTGAGCCCCGAGCGTTGATTCCAGACCATGGAAGAATCACAAAACCCCTCAGATCTCCAGGTCATGATTGCAGCAGCTGTGGCAGCATCTATGGAAAAGGCCTTCGCTAAGTCGTTCCAGTCGGAAAAGGACGCACCTAAGCCCATCCCCAAGCGGGCTCATTATGGGACGGATTCTGAGGACTCCGATTCTTCCAGAGAACGCTCACACCCTCCTAAGCGCCACTGGAAAGGTGAGGCCATTGGACCACGTAAGTTCAAAGGAAAGGCCCCAGCTAAACGCAAAAGAGCCACGAGCCTGTCGGCCCAAGGACCCGCTCAGGCTTCCTCTGGGGAAGAAGACGCAGGGCCAACACATGCACTTGCCGTGCTTGACGAATGGCAGACGGCAGTCTCCAGTCATCAGGAATCCCACTGGGACTCTGCTGCCAACTCTGACTCTTATCTCGTAAGGGAATAGACCCTGGGTGAGCCCCAGGACTCTATGGCCATGACCATGGATAACCCACAAGAGGGTACAGAGATATTCCTAGACAACAATGTTTGATCCCAGGAACATTCGCCATCCCCGTTCGGAAGAGTGGACACCACCCGAACACCTGGCCAGATTCATGCACTTCTGGCTCTGGAAGTCTCTGGACAAGGAAGTGAGGAAATGTATGAGGTCAGAATGCCCTCGCCCGATCCTACCAGACAAGGTAGCACATACCCCCGAATTTGATCCTCTCATGACGACATTCATGTCCCGTGGAGGTCGGGACCCATGCAAGGGCATGGAATGCGGCTTTAAAGGAGCCCAAGACAAACTGCTAGATGCCGTTGGGCCACTAGCAAGGATCATGGACATGGCGGATGAGGCCTATGAGAGGGCTGACAACTTTACCCCAGATATGGTGCGTGAGTGGGCACAAGATACCCGAGAGTGGGCACAGAGGTGCTTCTGCTTCCTCGTGAACACTAACGTGGCCCTCTCTTCGGAAAGGCGCCAAGCAGCACTTTTCCGTATTGACGACAAACTTGTCGAACTAGGGAATAAGGAATTGGGCCCTTTGGCACAGGGCAAGTTGTTTGGAGAGGCCTTCCTTACTGAGCTAAATAAGAGGGTCAATATTTTTACGTCCCTCAGCAAGGCATCAATGCAGAAAGTATTCCGCGGCGCTAGCACCCGAGGTGTTTTTGGGAGGGCTGGTCGGCAGAGGGATCGTGCCACCAGCCGCTTCTGGCCATCCGGCCCCCGCACAACCAGGGCACAGCCATTCTACCCAGATTCGTCTACCCGACATCGATACCACCAGTTCAGGGGATCAGATCGTGGCCGTGGTGGCCG